TAACGCGTCTGATGAACAGCTTGTCAGTATGAAGTTCAGTGAAAGACTGAGCCTCTGCGCTCTTTCTGGAAACTTTTCAGACCAGAGGCGCTGCTTGTTGATTGTGACGTCACAAGGGCCTTTCTGTGGACGCGCAAAGCTCCTGTAATGTTCAGTGCGCTGTTCAGTTCAGTCCCAACACGCAGCGCCGCACTGCACACGGACATCACACCACTGCCGTGTTTCACTCACAGACACATGCACTTTATTGCTACTGATGCACTACACAAACTTACACATTCAGCACATTAACAAATCACAGCGGATTAACAACTGATTAAAGTCACAGCAACAACAACATCAACACTGGCGCATCAAATACACAACTAAGTCCATTACAGCCAAAAAGACTATGAATGAAAACAGCTATGAATGTCCTTATAGCATAAGCACGGGACAGATAGAGCCAGAAAATAAGCACATGCAGCAGTGCACAACAACAACAACAACAACAACAACAGTAAAGCATGTTCTTACCTTTAGAAGGTTTTCTTTCTTGTTTGCATTAAATGCTTGATGAGGAGTGTAAAGTGCAATCTGGGCAGGATTTCATGTTCATTCCCCCCCCAATCGCTACCCGACTGATGATCACCAAATAACTGACTTTCGAGGATGAATACAGCAGCCATGCTCTTGGTACAAACTCACCATTTTTATCTTAAACAAACACATGCGTTTTGGAGGAGTGCCTCTCGTGCGTTTTGGAGATGTTGTCTTTCCGATCCTGCAACATCCGCATCTTTATTCTGGCCGGAATCTCATCTGTTCTTCTCTTTTCCCCGGCAGCCATAAAACATTGACCCAGCTTCGGTACAGTGTTGAATAAATCCTGGTCCCGCTGTTCTTTTATTTGGTGAGCTGTGCGCTTCTGTGCTCCTCTCAGACTGTGTTCTTGGCTCTACACTCTACACTCTACACTTACAAGCCTGAATTAGTATAGACTTCAGCCTTTTTTATACAGATGTCAGAGCCCAGATTGGCCCATATAAATGTCATTCATTTGTAAGTTGGTGATGGGTCACGTGCGATGAGTTCAAATGTTCAGTTTATTGTGGCGGATTTTATGTCAGTACAGTGCATCACTCTCATCAGTCTTTATATGTATACCATCTGTATGTATACTGTACCATCTCTCTATGTATATCATCTATACCATACATCTATACCATACATCTGTACCATCTCTCTATGTATATCATCTATACCATACATCTGTACCATCTCTATATTTATGTCATCTATACCATACATCTGTACCATCTCTCTATGTATATCATCTATACCATACATCTGTACCATACATCTGTACCATACATCTATACCATACATCTGTACCATACATTTGTACCATACATCTATACCATACATCTGTACCATCTCTCTATGTATACTGTACCATCTCTCTATGCATACTGTACCATCTCTCTATGTATATCATCTATACCATACATCTGTACCATCTCTATATGTATATCATCTATACCATACATCTGTACCATCTCTATATTTATGTCATCTATACCATACATCTGTACCATCTCTCTATGTATATCATCTATACCATACATCTATACCATACATCTGTACCATACATCTATACCATACATCTATACCATACATCTGTACCATACATCTATACCATACATCTATACCATACATCTGTACCATACATCTATACCATACATCTGTACCATACATCTATACCATACATCTGTACCATCTCTATATTTATGTCATCTATACCATACATCTATACCATACATCTATACCATACATCTGTACCATACATCTATACCATACATCTGTACCATACATCTATACCATACATCTATACCATACATCTGTACCATACATTTGTACCATACATCTATACCATACATCTGCACCATCTCTATATGCATACTGTACCATCTCTCTATGTATATCATCTGTACCATACATCTGTACCATACATCTGTACCATCTCTCTATGCATACTGTACCATCTCTCTATGCATACTGTACCATCTCTCTATGCATACTGTACCATCTCTCTATGCATACTGTACCATCTCTCTATGCATACTGTGCCATCTTCTGAAAGCCTGCAGTTTGAAAATTAGGGAGAGAAAAAAATGGAGGCAGTCTTGTGATCATCCTGGTGGCTTTTGTTTTATTAGTCAGCTGCACTGCATGTAGTGTATCCTGCTCACAGGTACGGTGGCTTAGTGGTTAGCACATTTGCATGTTAGCACGTTTGGTTGGGGGTTCGAATCCCGCCTCTGCCCTGTGTCCGCCAAGCTTCCATGTTCTCCCTGTGCTTCGGGGGTTTCCTCTGGTTTCCTCCCCAAGTCCAAAGACATGCGTTGTGTGCACTGGTATTTCCATATTGTGCGATTGTGCCCTGCGATGGGTTGGAGTCCCCGCCTTGTTCCCTGGGATAGACTTCAGGCTCCCTGGGAAATGGATGGATGCTTCTTACTCATAAAGGAGTTTCTCAAACTATCCTCTCAAGACTCTTACTCCTTATTTCTGCTACCTTTTATTGCAAAGATCTTGTTATTCAGACATTTTACTCTGTTATACTCTGCATTACTTGGTTCCTTTTTAAAACTCCCACGCTCCTTAGGAACAAAATGTGTACAAAAAAAAAAAAAAACTCACCAAAAAAGGGTTAAAAAAAAAAAGGATGTTACAGAGCCTTAAAAAAAGTTGTAGCTTTTGAAACTGAACATAACTTCCAAAGACATTTTTTTTTCATTCTCATATTCTCTTATTCTCTTATTGTCTTGTCTTTTATTCCACTGGAAATCAGACTGTACAGCTCCTCCTCTTTTTATCCTTTTATTCTCTAAAACACAAAACATATTTTGGTTATTTTTTTTATTATTATTTTGAGTTCGTATGTCAGTTGTGTTGTCTTTTTTCCTTCTCACAACTGAAGAACATGCATGAGGACAATGTGCATTCTGACCACTAGATGCCAGCAGATATTTTTCATCCACCTCTCACACTGAAGGGAAAAGAATCTGTTGAAATCTGGTTGTATGAGCGGCTACTGCACCTACATGACAGCGGATGGGCCTTATGACTGTATTCTGCTAATTAGTTAGTAGGATATGTGAGGAATAAAACACTTTGGGACATGCTGTTAATGGAAAATAATCCACAACAGGGCAGTGTGATGAAGCTGGGTTACTGTTACCACCATGTAGTTGAACATTTCCTATAACGGCACGTCCCCGTGCTAACCAACTTACTTCCTGTTGTCGCTTACGTTATAGCAGCTATAAACAGTCGTCCCTTAACCAGCTTCTCTTATTCTCTCTCTCTCTCAAAAAAAAAAAAAACGCAGCTTGTCATGTTACGGAGAAACAGCGAAGAAGCGTAAACTCTGACTGTTACAAAGCGCTGGCACTGGAGACTCCTTCCATAAATGTTACATAAACACATTTCTTCTTACAGAAAACCTCACCATATCAACAATCACATGTTTTTTATCTGTTTATGTGGCACGTCGGCTGTACTGTACACGTCCCTGTGGATGAGCTGTTGCTATAGAAACGATAACGTAAATAGAATTCATCAACACCTTCTGACCAATCGGAATGCAGAACTCAGCTGTACTATGATATTGTAACTTTTTCCAGGGAGGAACGTTTGTGCTCCAGTAAGAGCTTTATTGACTTCCCTTGAGGAAACTCAGCAGCGTTATTCTTCTCCTCATTATGAGTCCTGTTTCCATCTGTATGGGCATTTCTGGAAAAGTGTAAATCCCACGGCTGCCCGAGTGCCACTGTTGTGCCTCAGCAGGACTCATTAATCCTCAATTACTCGCCTCTGTGCTCTGGATTCCGCCTCAGTTGTGAGATATTTTTTATTGTAAAAAAATCTGACGTCTCTTAGAAATGGCCAGATTCCTCGGTCAGTCCCAGTGAAGGAGGCGTGGCTTCTGTATCTGTCTGTCCAAATGAAGTACGAGTGGCCTCTGTCTCTCTTAGTCCAATTAAAGGAGGCATGGCTTATGTGTCTGTCAGACTTAGTGAAGGAGGCGTGGCTTATGTGTCTGTCAGACTTAGTGAAGGAGGCATGGCTTATGTGTCTGTCAGACTTAGTGAAGGAGGCGTGGCTTATGTGTCTGTCAGACTTAGTGAAGGAGGCGTGGCCTATGAGTCTGTGAGCTTAGTGAAGGAGGCGTGGCCTATGTGTCTGTGAGCTTAGTGAAGGAGGCGTGGCCTGTGTGTCTGTCAGACTTAGTGAAGGAGGCGTGGCTTATGTGTCTGTGAGTCTTAGCGAAGGAGGCGTGGCCTATGAGTCTGTCAGACTTAGTGAAGGAGGCATGGCCTATGTTTCTGTGAGTCTTAGTGAAGGAGGCGTGGCCTATGTGTCTGT